CAGAACCACTCACTAGTTAAGAGACTAAAGCTGCTCCTAGCCAAGCCGCAGAGCAAAGTTGAATCTGTGCAGAGCTCTCTGCAGAGCTGTCCTGCTGGGACAAGCCTTCTAGATTTACACTACGCCCAGCAGGCTGGGCTCAAAAAGCTAAGGGAAACTTTCATCTTATCTTTCATCTACCTATGAACTTCCAGAAGCACATGACAGCCACGGGTCTTCGGCGCACAGGTCTGGCAAGACAGAAAGACAGGGACAGCAGGGAAGACTTCACTGCTGGCAGAGTGTAATCGTGGTGTTCCCCCCCTCTGATCGGCTGCAGAGGGGAAGAAGGGAAGAAAAATTCAGTGACTTGTCTCTTCATAACCTTATCGGAGACTTTTGTCTTTCAGGAACACCCGCGCTGTGTTCCCTGTAACCCAAACCTGAAGCAGCAGCAGCGTATCAAGTCACCAGGCAGAGCAGTATCCCATGGTCTGCCAAGGGAAAAGCATCTCACCAGTCGCAGGTTGCCACCATGCAAAGAGCTAGGTTATTTATGAAGAAATAATAGCCTTAAATTACATTAAACAGTTTCAGTATCGAGCAAAACGGTGGCATTTATAACTGATTTGCTTTATTAAAAAAATGTTTACAAGTAAAGCAGATACTAAAAGAAACATGGAGAACAGAGAAAGACAATACAGTAAGCTGCAGATCTTTGATACGCTTTATCAGGAACAACCACCAGTTGCCACAGGTGAACTGCTGGATGTTCACGCAGTAAGTGCTGTGAAAGTTGACCTTCCCTTTGAAGGCATCAACGACTCGGTTTGGTTAGCCAGGTGACAGAGTGCACAAGATCCACTCACATTTTTTCCATGATGAAGCAAACAACAAAATCAAAGAGAAAAAACATGTATGTATCTTCAAGGGCTTCTAACAGAAATTCAGAGGTGCAGCCATTCCTTGAGGCAAACTGAACAAGGAGGTGTCTTGCTGCAGAAAGTTCAGGAATTATTTTAACAAGAACTTCAATACCAATGCCTCTTATTAGAGTATCAGCATATATACAAATGACCCAAATGAAACCGTGGTTCTGCTGTGCTGTGCTCTATAAACACAGAGAAAGCATTCTTGCCCCAACATGCTTATGTATTTTGAGCACTCAAAAAAAGATGCCAGTGACCCTGGTATTTCTGGAGAGTTGCTGGCTGGCAAAGAGCAATACACTGTGACCTCCTAAGTAATAAGAAAGAAATGCAAACCACCAAGAAGAACAGAGCAAAACAAAAATATTTCCATAAGCAGAACTTTTTATACCCTGAGAAAAGATCTGACTCGAGTTCAGAAGGGACACATTAACATGTGTTATGCGAGTCTCAGTATCTCATAGCCTTCAAAAAATGTATGTGCTACAAAGCTCAGCAAGAAAACAGAAAAAAATAATCATCTCAGATCTTATGGCAAAATTATTATGGAAGATATAATTGAACTGATGTCTAGGGTTTACCTGTGGACCTCAAAAAAAAAAATCACCACAGCATTGCTCTCCTGCACTCCCCTCACATCCAAGGGGATCAGGTGCTGTGAAAACAGATGGCCTAAGCAATCTTAAAACAAACAGCAGCCAGAAACAGGCAAAAATAGTGTAAGGTCATGAATGGCTCGCTCTCTTATTTGGTTTTAGACACTATCTACTTAATTCGGAAGTCAGAAACTGGAGGAAACATACCTGGACCCTACTTCTTGCAATAACGAGCCAGGGAAGCAAAGGAGGAAGAAAATATACTTCCACCCTAAGATTTCAGTGAACCACAAAACACCACAGGGAAAGAGAAACTTAGTTTTGCTCCACCTATTCCAAGAAAACGAGAGCAGCACTGCGACAACTCAGGGTACACCTACATTAGTATTTCAAACAGAATGGGGAGCATGGTTTTGAAGCAGTTTGCCCAACTCACTCGTTCGTACACTGCTTTGGTGCGTACTAAAGAGTTGCACCTCAATTTCTTCTGGGTGAACTGAGCCAAAAGACTTCCTCCAGAAGCACGCTTGATATGCTCCAACCACAGAGGCACTTTTGTTCAAAGACCCAGTCCAGAACTAGTCCTAGGTAGCTGTCCTGAAATGTGCATAATGTGGACATCGAGTCCTTGGCACCTCCCATTTTGCTCTACAGAGAGTTTACTTGACTATGTTGACTCAGCCTCAGTAAGATAGCTACAGCTACTGCGGCAGCTCAGACAATTAAGAGATAATATACTAGACATACAACATAAAAAAATAGGATATCATTAAGATACCAAAGGTTGAAAGGAAGCTGAGAAGTGAAGTACCGGTAGAAAAACAAAGCTTATGTCCGTTATCTCCACAGCACTTTCATACTTGAAAAGAGTACGACGTATGACATAATTAAACAACCACAACCAACTTCCTCTTCTCTATCACTACTATCAATGAATTCTCAGGGAAAATAGTAAAGCAAAGCTTGGCAGAGGACAATTAATTAAGAGGTGAAATCTCAGTTTACTCTTATTAAATCTCAGAGCTACTCCTTCACAAAACCCTCCCCTGCAGCAGGCTCTAAACGCCAGCCTGTGGCACTGCTCTCAGATTGCTTTTATCATTGCCTTTTTTTTTCCCCAGATGCTATTCACCTATCAGCCAAGTAGTCTGACTGTGGAACAAAGTACTGAGGAAACAGGAAAAAATGGGCAACTCTGTAGCACCCACCATGTGCCCCTGAGGGCCTGGGCAAGGGAGGGAAAGGGACTACACCTGCCACAGACCTGCAGATAAAGGTGCTCATGGCAGAGGTCTGCTTGGTTTAAAAGTATACACAGGCTCTGATTTCTATAACTATATAAGACACCAATAAAAAAAAAATGGAAGTTAATTACAGTTCCACAACAAAATATAGAAGGGAAAGGGGAAAAAAACAACCCAACCCATATTCCTCATTAAAGTAATTCTTACCACATGCTCCAGTTGCTTTCATAGCTAGGTTTCAGAGTAAGAAAAGACCTTTAAAATGTCAGTCCACAAAGCATACTTCATCTTATCTAGATTGCATTTCAGTTTATTCATCTGTAGTGCCCTGGCTAAAGCAGGACCCGTGAAAGGCATTCAAAGCTGCAAAATCCAAACCACTGTACGAGACACAGCAGCCCATGCCCTCTCGCAACAAATGTAACCAAGGACAGAACAGAAGTCTGAGAAAGATCATGAAAAAAACACTCCTGGCATGGGAGGTAATTGTTCTACACAGTGCTCTTGTGATCTCCTAGAAAATATAAACAAATAAATAAGAATATTTAAGAGCAGTACCATCAGTCTCCACAAGTAAATTCATGTCATTTTGTGATTAATGATATCGAGTACAGTTATAAATTTAGCAAAATTAATTACATTTGTTGCTACTACACGGCCTTCACAGTGCATCTGTAGATGGAAGAAGGAAATATCACAGGGTTGTTTCTCTACAACATATTCAATTTATTTTCAACAGAACAGCAAGATTCAGCTTAGAGTAACAGAGACATTATGTCTGACCCTTTTTTCTTGAAAGCACACTTCCACTGAAATACATCAGTATCAGCAGTTTTCAAATAAATTAATTGAATTTGTATTTTTAGAAGCTAAACAGAAAGCTAAAGCCCAGGGACACACATCTGCTTCAGTTCTACGGCTTCCAGCCACCAATGTCACGGTCGATATTTTTCCTCTCTGTAAGCCTCTCATATCAGCCTTGTTGCCATATGCATGTGGACAGCTAGCTCACCAAAAATAAGTATTTGTGTCACATCAAAATAAGCACCTGCCACGGGCGAGCGGACTGCCATTACCACTTCCACCACTGTTTTGCAATACTCCCCCCCACCCTGTCCTTACTCAGTGACCTTTCCACAACCATCCTGGCCTCCTTTTGTATTTGTTGCAACAAATATCTCCTTCCTTCATCACAACGCTGTCCTATGACTCCTTCAGTTTCATCCACTCTGTTCTCCATGCTTACTTTATAAAAATGGGTACGTTTGTAAACAGAACAAATAAACTCACAAAGCATAAAAGGGTTTGCCACACACTCCACTCTCATTTTGATTCGGCTGCTCCCCACCTTGGGCTACAAGCACTGCAGACAACCATACCCCTCTGAGACAAAGGCACAGCACTAAAGAGACACAGCTTTTACTAAAGAGACAATTAAACCCTCAGCACATACAATCCTCCTGCACACGTTTCCAGGTACTGCTAGAAAGCAGTCAAGGGTTTCATTTCAAAATGAATACACCATAAAAAAATGAAAATCGGACCCTTTGCCAAGCCATAAGGGGAACCGAAGGATCCCTCATTTTCTTTTCCGAAAGGCAAATCTGCAGTTTCATCCCCAAATCCTTAGAGCTGCAGAAACTAGAGCATCTGCCAGCTCACTGAACCACCTGAGTAACTTTTTCCAGCCTAACTTCGAACTGTAACAACTTGCTGTATCAAACTGCCAAATCTACAGTGCTCATTTCTTTCTGTGAATCCAGCTGTCATTTTTCCCAAATGCCTTCGCAGTCCCAACTCTCCCAATGCCAAAAAAAACTTTTCACAGATATACATAATTTTGCAAAACACATATGCTCTATGTATGGCACATGAAGTCAATTAACAAGTTTACTTACTGAATTAAAGGATGACACACAACAGTAAAACACAAACCTCTTGCAGACAGCAAACACACTAACCTTCTCCTCCCTATGATGTGATACTCTCACGAGGAGCGCTAAGGAGTTTTGAAGTCTAAGTACTTTTTGAGTACCCCAGATCTTTCACACTTATCTTTGCAGGATCTTTTATGTTGTAATTCCCATGACGTTTCTGATCACCAGCACGCAGAGTTAAATGTAAAACGCGTTTAATTTGCAAGTCAGCAAGCACAAAACACACACTAGGGAAAATATATTCCCTCACAAAAGAAAAAAAAAGACTGAGCACACAAAAAAAAAAAAAAAAACAGAAACAAAAAACCCACATACCTTTTAACTGGTCAGCTACCACACTCTGACCAACTCGCTCAATCACCTTTCCATCCTCCATTTCATAACGATCATCCAGGTATTTCGCAGTAGCTTCCGAAATATGGACCTTTCCAGCCACCCCGAGCTGCTCCATCAGATTGGCCAAATTGACATCGTTGGACCACACATCGAACTTGAATCTCCTCATTCCCAAAATGCCACACAGGACTGTCCCGGTATGAACACCGACTCTCATGTTCACCATTTCTTTTTTCTCCTGGCAAAACTGCTCAATGGCTTTAATCATACCCAAGCCCATCTCGATGCAGCAGTAAGCGTGATCTGCCCGGGGCTCTGGGCAGCCAGCTACGCAGTAGTAACAGTCTCCCAAAGTGCTTATCTTCTCGCATTTAGTGTCCTCACACAGACGGTCAAAACGTCCGAAGAGGTCGTTCAGGAGTCCCACCAGAGCGTGAGCAGATTTGTTGGCGCTCATTTTTGTGAAGCCAACAATATCTGCAAACAAAATGCTCACTTGCTCTATCTGCTGCATTTTAAAGGGACGGAATATTATGGGGGTTTTCTGGATGGAGGGCTTCTTCTTCCTGTTTTTGGGGCTTGAGGTGGAATGACGTTTGATGGAGTTTTCACTTTCATCATCCCCCTGCTTCATTAAGTCATCAGCTATTATTCTTGGCATAACAGAGTGAATCATCCTCTCTTTCAGGGCTTTTTCCACTTCCAAGTCTTTTCCATGCATGATTGATTGCCCCACTTTCAGGAATGTGCTTCTCGATCTGACTTCGGACATGATAAATAAATGAATACCAATGGCGTGGATGCAGATGTGCAGGAAGGCTTTACTCAACAGCTCCCAGTAAACCGCGCCGGCTCCGAGAGGCGTAAAACAGTTCTCATCACGGAAGTGATAACCAAAGGTCTCAAAGAGGACCGAGTATGACAGTCCCAGAAACAAGCTTAAATACAAGGGTAAGTGCATCACCGTGTAAAGCAACAAGAGCACTTCGATACACATAGAAAAACTGCCTACTTGAGAAAGACAAGTGTCTGTAGGATCTGCTGGGGCAGTCTGATTGGGCATGTCACCACTTCCTGAGATAGGCTTCAGAGCCTGGAACTGCAGAGCGAGAGTCAGAGCAAAAACCAGGAGGGTGAGTATCAGCGAAGTCCATACGTAATGGCGAGCGTAAGTCTTAGTGAAGGTGAACACAAAAAACACTACACACACCAAGAGGAAGCACAGAGCCGGCACCATGAACACCATCAGTTTCTCTCTCATGTGTATGCCAAAATAGATGCCCCAGAGAAGGCAGGCCACGCCAATGTAGAAGAGGGCATAGCGAAACCTGCGCTGGGTCTGCGGGAAGCATCTCTCCATGCAAGCCTCCTCCAGGTTGTTGGAGTCGAACTTGGGGTTCCACCACTTGGAAGAGGCCCTCTCGAAGAGCTGCGGCAGCTTCTTCTGCCGGCGGAGGCCGGGGACGCTGCCGCCACCTCCGCCGGCTCGGCGGGTGCCCCCCGACTCCCCCGAGCTGCAGCTGGAGGAGATGCTGTACTTGCAGTGCTTGGAAGAGGAGCAGCCCTGGTGCTGCTTGGGGTTGATTTTCACCGTCACGCTGTTGCTGTCCCCGCTGGAGTCGCAGCTCACCTCGGTGCTGTGGTGATGCAGCAGCTGCTGGTGCGGTGGGGAAGCCATGTTGTCAATTCCTCCTGAAGAGCCCGCTCAGGAGTTGGGTCTCTCGGGCTGGGAAAGCCGCCGGGCTCCTCGGGAGAGTCGCCTCTAGTCTCCTCCCGCCGCCTGCGCGGAGAGGCGGCCGGGCAGCGCCGCGGCGTTCCGCCGCTCGCCGGGCTCGGCTCGCAGGGCGCCGGGGCGCGGGCAGCCCCGCATAGTCCCCCCCCCCCCACACACACACACACACCCCCCCGCCTCGCCCGCCGGGGCTGCCGCCCGCCGCTGGCCCCGCTCCCGCAGCCCCGCCGAGGCGCGGGGCGGGCGGCCGCTCGCTCAGTCCCGCGGGGGGCCCCCGCCGGGAGGGGACCGCTCCTCCATGTCGGCCGCAGCCGGCCGCCGCTTCCTCCCCGCGCCCGCCGGGCAGCGCTCCCCTCACGGCCGCCGCCAAGGGGCCGGCTGCCCGCCGCGCCGCCCCCCTCGCCCGCCCAGCCGGGACGGCCCCGGCCGCTCCCCCCCCCCACACACACACCCCACACCCCTCGCCGCCCGGCCTTGCGCGGCCCTTCCCGCCGCTCTCCGCCAGCGGGGCCTTGGGCCCTCAGCCCGCCCCGCGCTTTCCTGGCGCCTGGGGCAGCGCCCGGGAGAGCGAGCGAGGAAAACCCCCCGCGGTGCCCCTCAGCTCACGGCGCGGGGCTCGGCCGCCTCCTCGCCTTTAGACCGCGGCGGCCCGGCGGGGCTGGTCCCGTCCCCGCTGCCGGCGGGCGGTGCTGCGGGGAGCTCCGTGCCCTGAGCGGGGCCCGGCCCGGCCCGCCCGCCCGCCCGCCTGCGCGCCGCCGGGGGAAGGGAGGGGAGGGGAGCGGCGCGGCGGGGGCGCGCTCAGGCGCGGGCGGCCGCCAGCACCATCTTCCTCACTTTGGGGGGGGGGGGGGGGGGCTGCATGCGCGCCCCCGCCGGCCAATGAGGCGCGGCGGCGCGGCGGGAGCGCGCACCCCCCCCTCCCGCCTCCTCTTTCCCCGCTTCCCGCCCGCCCTCTTCCCGGGCTGAGGGGCGCGGGAGCCGGTCCCCTCAGGGACGCGGCGCTCGGCCCCGTTCCCCTCAGCGCCGGGGAGGGCGGTGGTCGCGGGGGGGGGGGGATGTGTGTGGAAGTTGTCCCTCCGTGAGGCAGCGACGCCCCCTCGCCGCGGGCGGGGAGGGCTGGCAGCGGCGGGGCGACCGGCGGCTGCAGCCGGGCGGGTCCCTCGGGCTGGGTCCCCCGTCCCGCTCTCTCGGCCCGGCTTCTCCGCCCTCCCCCGCGCAGGCGGCGGGTCCCGCCGCCGTTTTGAGGGTCGTGTCTGTTCGAGGCGGGACACACACACACACCGGGGAAACACCGCCGTTGGCACGGCTGACATTTGCCATGCGCAAACAACGTGTGCTTAAACCAAACAATTCAACCTTCCCGCATCCCCGCAGCCTGCTGGAAACTTGCTGGGTTATTTCGCTCCTCTTTCTTCGCTTGTTTATAACTGACGCTATCTCGCCTCCACCGCTCCCTCAGTGTTATTATCTCTTCCTCCCAGGCGGCCCGTCTCTCTCCCTCCTTCTCAGGGTTTCTCTCTGCGCTTGCTTCGGCTTCTTTCCCTCCTCTTCCCAGCTCTCCACCCCTCGCCCACAGGTGATGTTCCCAAACCCTCGGCCCCTGCTCTGGTCCTTGCTTCCCTAAATCCCATTTACTGTTTTCCAGGTGAGCTTTTCCCAGCTGGCTGCCCACAAAGCTCTCGGCTCCAGTGGTGCTTCCTTCAGCCGCGCTTCTTGCCCAGCAGCGAGTCCCTTCCCCTCTGAAGACGACAGCCTTTGCTAAAATAGACTCTCTTTTTAAATACTAATAGAAAATATGTGGCCACACAGTTAGTGGAACTGAAACCTGTATTTTTTTTTTCCACTTCCTCTGAAGATATTATTGTTCAGCAACCATGCTGTAAAATGTGTTTATATTAATATTTTGAAGAAATTTATATTTCCCAATGTACTCAAATACCAAAATAATCTATAATTAAAAAGTCCAATCAATAGTGATAATTGTTTTGGTTTTGCTATGACAGAGCTGTTTCTCGAATGCCAACTAATGGCTTGGCTGATCAATATTTTATAGCAAATGCTGCTTACCATATGACTCTTACATAAATGTTGTTAGGCAGAAAGAAATCCCTTAGCTGACAGAGCAGAAGGGAAAGATGGCCTTCTGGGCCGGGCTATTAATTGATAAATTTACAAAGAGTTCTTTGCGACCTTTTTATTGATTCATCTAAATGTACTTTAAGTTATATTTTTGCTTCATAGAGGATGATGAATTTATTTAATCTGGAGGATTAAATAAGTGCGACAACTTCCCAGGATTCAAAGATACTGTAGAAGGTGGGAAGGGGAAAAAAGTTTTTTACCTCAGTGACAGAGAATTGAAGGTAAAACTACCTGCTTTTTGTAACTTCCCTAAGTAAACTTGTAAGATTTATGTTGTTGTAGAGGTTGGGTGATTTGAACTTTGAGGTGTGAGAGGTACTGAAATTCCAGCATGAATTTCTGTAGCCTTGCTTTATGATGGTATTGGCTTTTTACCCTTACTCAGCTGCCAGTCTGGATCAGCTGCATTTCCTTAACACCCCTCCAAAAAGGGTCTAATCTACAAAGAGCTTAAATATGGGGAAGAAAAGAGGAAATGATTTAAGCCCTTATTATTCCCAAGTAAATCAGGGTGTCATTGAAAAGGACATCAGGGTACGTTTTCCTCCAGTTGAAGATGTGGGGTTTCCCTCTGGTATCAAAAAAGTCATGGTTTCATTCCGTTCTCTTGGTCCAGGGTGGTTAAGAGTGCCTGGGCAGTAAATAAGTAAAACGCTGTTTGCCTAGAGCGTAGTAAAAGTTGAGGTCCTTTGAATTGGTGTTTATTACAGAAATTTGCTTGGGTAGGCTTTAATTTTCATCGAAAAAGAAGACGCGGGATCGTCCCTTCCTTCGGAATGAGACTGTTGGGCAGCGGTTTGCGCGTGTACAGCGGTAAGCGAGCGGCAGGCGGTGGCTGGGGTGCGTGTCTGCTGCGCGGGGAGAGCTCCCGCCGTCAGCGGCGAGAGGCCGCTCGCGTGTTTTCCCCGCGGGAACACGGGAGAGACCGGCGCACTGAGTGTGGGGGTACGCGCGTGCGGGGGCCGGAGGACAAGCAGAGGCAAAGCTCAGGCTGAGCAGCAAGAGAAGTGTGTCTTGTTCCCCCCATGCTCAACAAAGTGGGACTTTGTGTGGCCTTAGAATAAACGGCATCACATCAAAGATACTGGCTACATCACAAGTTCTAACTGATTGACACACATGATCCCAAATTTTGTCTGACTACTAGTCAGAGACTGCTTTTGATCTCTGCTGATGAAGTAGCCTCCTCTTTCCCAGCTTTCCTTTACTGGTTTGAAGGACAGAAGACATCTGACTTGTCAAAACCTTCCTTTGGTAACCTTCAGGTCGTGATTTCAAGATTGCTCAGAATCCTTGCTCCCCCGAGGAAGCTCCCATTAGGTTGTTACTCGTAGACTCCCATCCTGCTCCTCCTTTTGATCTTTTGGGTGAAACAGTCACCCAACACTCACTAGCCCAGCCATTCCTCAGCTTCCTCTGTCGTTATCGAGTTCTGTGGAAACACGTGCTGCGTACACCGCAGGGAGAACAGTTACCTCGTAGTCACTTTTGTCAGCTTTGTACTGGCTGGGACAGAGCTAGTCCCGCCTCCCGAAAGACTGAATTTTTAAAATCGTGTGTTATGTCATGGACACTATTCTTTCACTTTGCTTTTATCATTAAGATTTTCCTCCATTGAATTCATGAAGCAGCTTAAATACATGTGAGCAGTAATCAAGAAATGCCAGTGATGCCTGTATTTATTACAAGCGCGAAAAAATTCGTCTTAGAGGACAAGAAGTGGTTTGAAGTTGTATCTGTGGTTTCCCCCGCTGCATTCTGATTTGTTTGTATCCAAGAGGAGTTTAACCCCATGGGATACAATACTGTCAGCGTGTCCCTCTAAGGCAGCGTCTGCGTGGGTAATGTCTGTAGCATCCTTTAAGGCAGATGCTTCCTCTTGGTCGCTTTCTTAGCAACCACAGCTAGCACATCTTGGTAGAGCTGAGAGCTACCACGCAGTGTTGATTTTGAATCCCGGGTTCATTTTACTGTCTGGTAGTTCTGGGTTGTGCTGTTTTCCTGTAGAGACCTCTGACCACCCTTCCAAAATACTCTGCGACTGGTTTCCTTTCTCAGAGACCGAGTTAGAGGAAATATTTGACAGAGCAATAGCTGGGCAGATGCATACCCTACTTGCACATTTCTCTTGCCTTCATGCCACTAAGTAGTTAGTCTACAGAATTGAATTTACTTCCCTTCTCAGAGGCAGAGCTTTGTCAGCTCTAACGATTAGTTTTTGTTAGACGTTCATAATATTGTACTCTGCTTATCTGATGGAGCTGTGCGGAACTATTTAGGGGGGTTCTGAAATGTGACAACCCACGTGATGCTTTTTTAGACTTCACAAACCGCCTTCACGAGGCAGAAGAATATGACACGGGAACTGCTGGCTAGAACAACAGCCTATATTAATGCCAGTATAGTTGGTGGAGTTGGGGAGGAGGAGTGCTGTTTAGAAGTTTGTGGCTTTTATTACGTGTTGTCAAAGAAAAACTTGCAGCCTGAAAGAAAAGGCATCATGGATGCTATGGGTGGGGACTATTGATCCTGTCTGGCTCTGCAAACAGCATAAGTATTGGAAGAAAATACATTAAAACCTGTTTCATCTGTCCACAGACAGAAAGGCTCAAGGGAGACAGCCCAGATGCCCCATTTCCTACTTTCTTACCTTAATAAACAGCAGGATCTCACCTTCTGACAAACTTCCGCGTCTGCATCCCTGTTGGTGCGTGCAGCATTCACTGTGAGCTTTGTTTCGAATCCAGGTAACCTCTAGGTGAAAGAACTCATGGATTTAAAAAAACCCAACAACTTTTCTGACTTCTGTTTGCAGACTAACAGGTAAACAACAGAAAATATTTTTGAGGATTGTTACTCCTGCATGGTTTTTAAATTTATAAAAGTATCATGATGCTTACTTCACTTTTCCACAGAAGAAGAGCACAAGGATTACCTTTGACATCTTTTCCATATGAAGCCACGGAAGCTGAGTAAGTGGTGCATTCTTCTCACTTCCTCGGGGGAGCCAGGTTGGTGTTGCGTTCTGTATTTTCATCCTTCTGGGATTGCAGTTCACATTATCCATATTACTAACATAATTTCATATCCCAGATGCGATGTACAGATAAAATAAGCGAGTAAGAAGTAGAAGAGCTTTTTATATGACTTGGACCTCCAGAGAGAGGATAAAACCTGACCCAGCCGAGTGGGGATCCCTGGGTTTTACTTGCAGGCTGTGTGGTTGTGACCTTCTGT